AATTGTCAGATTTTAATGAAACTTTCAGGACTTATTCACAAACAAACAAAATTATTTTTGAAATGCTTCTTTGTTGGAAGTTCTTGGTAAAAATATTTTTTTTATATCTGTTATTTAATTTTGAGAAATTAAATTTTGTACAGCATAATGTTTATATTAGTTAAAAGCAGAACTCCTTGGAGAATTTAAATTGTAAATTTATTTTGTAAAACAGGACCCCCAAATTACCAAAAATCTGCTCTGAATCATAAAATAAGAAAATGCAAAAAACTAAGACATTATTTAATTAGAAAAGTTTTTAATTGTTTATAAAATATATTATGGACCTTATTGTCTCAAGAAAAAACATTTCGATGAATTTTCACACAAATTATTTTAATTTTTTTTTAATTATAATTATAATAATTTATAAAGTTTTGCATAATTTAAAATTCTGTCTTACTTTGCAAAGGTTAGGTGATATTGTTATTTAGTAAAAACTATATTTACTAATTATAAATGGAAAAGCTTATTACAATCCATCGACCCCCAAAATTTTCAAAAAGGATTAATATTTTTCTGTATAAACATTGATTTTTGCAAATGCAGATGTTCATATGCAACATTGCAGAATATAAGAGTGATAATTATAGTAAATTTAAAGCCAAAGTACTTAAAATTCAATAAATCATTAGATTACAGGGAATATTTTCCTAAATTTTTTAAGATTACTGTGTAGTTAAAAATCATACAAAAATGGTGCTCATGTTATATTTTTCAAGTAAATTTTACAGATATGTCCACCATAGAAAAGAATGAGATAAACTTCTGTCTGACAGTCAAGCTGTCAACATCTTTACTAAAGAGCTACTGTAGTGTTAAAAAATGTATTTTTGCAATATTTTAAACTTAAAGTAAGTAATATTTCTTTCAAATCACATTAACTAAACTTTAAATCAGCCAATATTCTTCAAGTAAAGTTTCAGAAATGTATATTTTATTTTTGAATAATTTTTTTAATGAAAAGAATTACATTGTGATGAAAGATGGCTAAAATAGCACTAAAACTATTTCCAGTCAATAAGTTTTGAAATACAGCAAATTATTTTGCTTATTGGAAATATTAAATTTAATGTATTAGCTTGAAATAAAAAATAAATAAAAGCTTCAAAAAAGATTTTTCATTTTTAAAAATTAATTTTAAAACTTAGGTATCATGTTTCTGCTGAGGTACCTATATTTATGAAGAATTTTTTTCTACAAAATTAGTGTTATTCTTCTACAAGTAATATGGTATTTTAAAAAATTTTACTTTGTACAATATATTAGTATAAATATATAATATGCTTTTAAATTCCATTTATATTTGGATAGCAAAACATTATTGTCTTATTCGTACCAGTTGCTGAAGCTGTTCTTTCTCTTTCTGAAATCCTTTTTGCATTACTTCTTCCAACTGACTTTGAAGCAATTTTTTCTCTGACTCCAGCTGAAAGAGTGTTTAATCAAAAGGAAATCATTTTTTTATAAACCAAATACAAACCAAGAAAAATTCCCTAGGCATGGTCTATAAGACAAGATTTCTAACCATTGTTGTAAAGGACAAATTAAATGCATCTGCAATACTTTTTTCAAGAGTCTTTCAAGTGAAATGATATAAACATTTTGACAAATGATATATATATAAAGAAGTGATTGAAGTTATATATAAACACCAAGTGATCCACTAGGGGAAATCGTCATTAGATCTGACACTTTCAACTGCGGAGTGTGTCGATGGCCAAGCAAATCTGAATAATGCTTTTAAACATATAAAGTCAGAGAAAAATTTGTGTTTAAAGGCATGTGTATATATATATATATATATATATATATATATAAATATAAATTTTTATTAATGTAGTTTTATTACCTCAATCTTATTTTTAGTCAATACCTGCATTGGAATAGATGATCTGTTTATTTTAAACACTATTTTATTTTGTCTACTGGTCTGCGTACTTGAGAAAACTTAATAAAGAAAAAACATCCTTGATAATGGTTAATCGAATTGCCAAAAGCACTTGGATATTTAAAACATTTGGACAGTTTTTACACACTATGTTCATAAAAGAAAATACTTGTACGAATGCAAGAAAAATTGAATAAAAAGCTTAATTGCAGTAATTTGTTAGTCATATTTAATAAAATATATATATAATTTACAGTGAGGTTCACCCTGTACAAGACCTGGAAACTACTGGAGGTAGAGGGTTACAGAATAAGAGACACAGTTTATGTGAATAAGTAGGAAAGACAATGGTTAATCTTAGACTTGGTATGGCATGTCCTAGCTGTGAAGGTTAAAACTGGTAGAACAAAGGAATATGGTATATCTGATCACTTTCCCTGGAAGTAGTGACAGAACAGTGTGGCTTGCTATATCTCTTCTGTGAGAGAGAGGCTGCAGGGTGGAAAATAATTTGTTACCCACAAGAACGTGGACATGCTTTTTAAACTATCGAAACTGAAACGTATAAATTGGGCAACTGCTGCCCAAATATGGCAGCAGTAATCCATTTTAGGCCTGATCTGGCTCTTGTAAAGATAGAGGATATCATGGAGAGTCAGGTACTTACTGGGGTAGTAAAAGGAACTGACAATTTTTCCGGTATCTTTAGCAATCATATGTATGAGTTCTCCTATAGGTTTGGGTTTAGTTTAAGGCCCAATATTTGCTCAAAGCATGGGATCTTCCCAAGGGAACATCTGTTTATCATGATTGGTGGTAGTTCAGGGTTAATCAATGATGATGGAATGTAACTAGTTTGGTTTTTGAAGCATTGACTGTAACCAGCCAGTTTTTCTCTCACGGAGACATTAGAGTTAGATCGGAGGAGAGATCAGCTGCTAATCTCTGGTCATCTAGAGTTTTGTAGGTGCACCTATATATTGTTGCATCATCAGCATAGATATTCATAAATGATTGGAGTATACTCTTAGACAGAATATTTATGTAAAGTAAAAAGAGGGTTGGTTCAAGAAGTGATCCTTGGGGACACTTGTGCTGATTGCTAGGGCCTCAGAGGACTGGCTGTTAACAACTACCTTCAGGGACGTACCTGTTAGGAAGGATTTTATTATTGAGAAGACTTTTCCAGTGATTCCATAGCTAGAGAGATTGAGCAGCAATCCTTTGTGTCACAATTTGTCAAAGACCTTCGAAATACCTAATGCTATGGACTTTAATGTGTATTTGTTAAGTGTCTCACTGATTCTGTGAGTAATGGTAGGACATCAACAGTGGATCAAACCTACTTGTTGCTCAAGAGGCTGTTCTTATCTAAGTGCTCAACAACCTTCTTGTTGATTATAGCATAAAGAGCTTGCTAATGACCTATGGATCAATATTGAGAGGAGAATGAGCGATTGCTCGTATTCTTGAAAAATGTGCATATGCTTGGCACCTTCCACAGGCTTGGGAAGGATTTCTCCTTCAAGCAGTGGTTAAATAGCTTCACTAAAATAGGGGATAGTTCCGAGTTGATATTCTTAAGGGACTTTGTCTGGGCCAGTAGCTTTCTTAGGGTCAAGGCTTTTAATAAATCTTCTTAGGCTGTGATAAAAATACTACTGAGATTGTGCTCAGTGAGACAGAGGAAGTCAGGAAAGGGATGTCAAGTGTCTTTTAAATTTGAGTTGGAGGAAAAGATTGAGGTGAAGAGCTTCTGTTGAGGAAGACATAACCTCAGTGCCATTTAAAATAGTGAGCACTATTCATAATTTGGTTGGTTATCTTCCAGAACTCACAGGATCCAATTTGTTTGTTTTCAGCCTTGGCCTGGACTGCTTGTGCATAGCTACAATTTGCATTTTCCAGAACTTTCTTGTGGCAATTAGGTGTGGTTCTGAATGCAGTAAGAGTCAAACTACACTGCTCCTTGTGATAGATATTGAAGAAGTGGTTACAGTGAGCTATGGCAGCAGTGCATTCAGGGGTGAACCAGGGCCGGCTGTTTGGCTTTTGTTGGAATTCTCGTATAAAACATTCCATTCCAGAAAGAATCCATTTGAGAGGAGGGCAGCAGTTTTGGGGGTAGCATGTTTGAAGAAGATTGAGAGAGGATCTTCTGTCATGTAAGATCTAAAGCTGTCACTTTTGATTAGCTAGGTATAAGATAGTGAAGACCAGTTTCAACCCTTTTTGGCTTTGTGCCATAATTGTATTAATTTACAATAAATCTCAAGCTCTAAAGCTGTCCCAGTCTCCCTTTATGTAGCGAAAAATCGTTCTATCGAATGGCAAATCATGGGATACCTTTATATATGTGTGTATGTGTGTGTGCAGTGTTTGAGATTTATGTAAAATTCTGACATTGATCCTCAAAATCAGTCATCCAATCTAGAAGACTATATCCCACTTTTATTTATGCTTATTATATTATGTTATGTTTAGTTAGGCCAAGGTTCAAACCCAGAAATTCAAACATAAGAGATTAATGTATACATTTAAAAGATATTTTTCCCACAACAAAATAAACTGAAGTATCAATAAATAAATAAAGGCATCTATCTAATAACATGTATCTCCCTTTGCTTGAATAATGGCAGGTATGTGATGTGGCATGGTATCAACAAGATGCTGGAGCTGCTGTGTGGGTATATATATCCAGTCACATTCCAGAACTGTCAATAACTTACTTGTGTTTGTTGGGTATGATAGCAGAGACCTTAGTGAGTTGTATTTTTAAATTCCTTTTTTCATCCTGTCTATCATTGCCACAGCAATGTTTTACATATCATAGTCACACATGGGTCATCCAGATGAGTTCATTTCTACATACAAGTGATGGAGAGTGAAACAATCCAGAATATGGCTTTCTCTATTTTTTGGTACTTCAGTTTAGAGGTAGAGAGAGAAAGAGTAAAAAAAGAAAGAAAGAAAAAAAGAAAACTGTTGTCATCTAGGAGCTGTGAATATATGCTCGAACTGTCACTAGCAAACAGCATTTGAAAAGAAGCAGAAAAATATCTTAACTCACTCTATGTATAGATGTTTTCGCCCATTTCAGTTCCACCAATGCCCGATAGAGAGCATGGCTTTTTTTACTTGGTGTCTCATTAGTCAACCTAAAGATTGAAGAGAAATAAAAACAAAAAACTAACATCCACACAATCATTGTTGGCCAAAAATCAAGCACCATAAACAACTGGTTATATAAATTAAATACTTGAAATCACCTGCCATTATGTTTGAAATGTTGTCTTAGTTTGTTGATTCACAATTTTTGAACACTCTTAGGTAAGGTTTGATTTTCATTCATGTTCCCCTATTCTAATGTGATAGACTCCTTTAAACTGTTGTAGGATCAATAAGCTGTAAGAGTCCTGGGTATGACAATACACTACATCTGGCAGCAAGGCCTCTGATCAGAAGATTGGATGTTTTGAGGAGTGTAGAACCACCTCTTAATTGCTGTTGTTGCCAGTCCTACTCTAATCTGGGAGTGGGGGGGGTAGCACCTGTTAAGGTCCCAGCTAGGGATAAATAGTGAACCCCCAAACAAAGACAGAACACTATGAAAGTATAAAAATACATTTTCATAGTAAAAATGCCATCAATATATTTTTATATAAAAGAATTACCAACAATAGCTATTTATAGTAAAATTACCAACAATACTTATTTATAGTAAAATTACCAACAGTACCTATTTATAGCAAAATTACCAACAGTAACTATTTATAGCAAAATTACCAACAATACAATTTTATCTGTTGTTGAATGCATACAATAGCATTCAAAATATTTAGATTTCACCCACAGAGGTTGATATGCCACGAAACAAAATCAACCAATCAACATAAGTCATGGAAAACCAAGCAATTGATAAAAAAGCCTTAAACTGTTGTGAATTTGGTAGACAGGAACCACTGATCTAACGTGATTTGATTTTTTCCTGCTTAATGGTCATTCAACTATTATAGGGTTATTTAAGGCCAGATAAATGTCTTGAATCATGATTGTTTTGGGTAATGCTTAATGTTATACACGGATCAGACATATTTTTGGATACAGGTTAGTTGGTGATTTTTTTTTTCTTTTTAATCAGTTATTAGAGATGCTGGTTTCTAATAAAAGCCATTTTGAATTCAGTTTCTGATACAAGTTGGTTATTAGAGTTTGCATTGTTATTTTTAGTGGGGATCTTTATCAGATCCAAAGGGTTCTTTTTCTTTTTTTAAATTTTCAAAATATATTAAAGGTTTTATGTAGTTTTGTTGGGAGTTTTTATAGTTTTATATTTATGTATAAAGTTTGATTTTCTTTAAGTTAAGAATATTGTTTTGTTTTATTTCACTGCCCGTTATACCAACATGACTTGGACTCCAGGCTAAGAAGTATGATTTTGTCATTCAACTATTTCAGTATAGGTTCCTATTATGTCTAAAATATATGGATGTTTGGACTCCCCTTCTTTCATGGCTACAAGACTTGACAATGAGTTTATGAATATGATGAATTTCTGATTATTTGAGTTTTTAATGAGTCCAAGTGTCATCTTAAGGGCCTGTAGCTTGGTTGTGAATATGGACACTTGGTACTCTAATCTGTTTGTAGGACTGTCTGTCCGTGGATGATGCTCTTGTTTTATTTGAGATTTTAGAGCAATCAGTATATATGACTCGATATTTGTGTTTTAGTTTGGCAAAATTGTTGTATTTATGATGTTATTTGTGGTAATTTTGTTGTGTTGAGTTACTGTTAGGACTGTAAGAGAATCCATGACTGTGAATTTGTAGTGTTAAGGGGAGTTATGATGTTGGGGTATTTGTTTATTTGTGTGAGTGTTTCTTTGATTTGGGGAGCAAAAAAGTACATGTTTGATGGCTTCATGATGTTAAAGTTTGTGCATTGTAGTTTGAAATTTCTTTCATGTGTTGGATTATTTGGATTGCTTTGAAGTTTGTATTTTTTTAAGCATAATTGAGGTTTGTTGGCTTCTATGTGATTTAATGTGAATTACATAAGACATAATCCATCTGAATTCAGTACAGAGAACTAGGTAGTTCATTTATAATTAACTTGGAATCATATTTATTATTTATATTATTACTTACTATTATCAATATTATTAATTACTTAAGGGACCTGAATTTTGGAGTTTGTATTATATATACACCTACACGCCAGTTAATTAAGTACATGTGAACAAATGCTCTTTTATATAAATTTCAATTCAGACACTGGTGTGACAATTCAGTGGATAGTGGCATTTAAACATGGTAACCAACTGAATTTCATTTCATGCATTAGTATAGGAATGAAAGGTGATTTAAATGATTTAGAACATGACATGGTCTTGGTGCCAAATGGGTGAGTTTGAGTATCTCAAAAACTGCTGATCTATTAAGATTTTTATGCACAATTACCTCTAAGGTTTATAGAGAATGGTTAGAAGGAGAAAAAAATCCTAGTGCATGGCAATTTTGTCAGTAGAAATACTTTGTTGACAAAAAAAGGTCGAAGGCAAATGACCAGTCTTGTTCAAACTCATAGAGAGGCAACATTGGCTCAAATAACTACTCTTTACAATGGTGAGATGCAGAAGAGCATCTCTAAATACACACGACGAACATTGAAGAAAATAGGCTACAATAACAGAAGACCATGTCAGGTGCCACTCCAGATAAATAAGAACAAGTAGAAGTTTACAATCCATTAAGTATCACAATAATTGGACAATAAAAGATTAGAAAAATGCTGCATGGCCGAGTCTCGATTTCTGCTATGACACTTGGATAGTAGGGCTAAAATTTGATGTAAACAGCATGAAAGTATGGAGCCATCCTGCCTTGTATCAATGATACAGGCTGGTGTTAGTATCATAATAGTATGGGGAATATTTTCTTGAAATATATTGGGACACTTGGCACTAATAAAAGATTGTTTAAATGTAGCTTACCTAGGTATTGTACCTGAGCATGAGCCTCAATTTATGACTGTGGTGCACCTATCCTCTGGTGGCCACTTTTAACAGGACAATGCACCATGTCACAAATCAAAAATAGTGGAACACAGTAATTACTTTTCTGTGTTAAACTGACCTTCACAGACCAATTAAAAGCAGCAATCAATCAAAAACGTCCAGAATTGGCTAATGGGAAGATCAGGACAATGTCAAACCTCAGGTTTCCTTACAGACCTGGCAGAAATTGATACAACTTGGCTGGAATGTTCTACTACACCTGCTGTACCCCCTTCCAGGTTATCTCTAATTTCAATCCCTAAAAATTCTATTAACAATTCTCAGAACAACTTTGGAAGCTTATAAACATGACTTAGACATCACCCAGAAACATCACAATTTCTGGGAGAATTGAATCATGAAGCTGCTTCAAAGATGGCAAAAGATGGTGGAACAAAATGGCACATATGTTGTTGAGTAAATCTGTGTACAAATTTCTAAATATTGTCATTGAGATTCACTTTAAAAGGCTTTAAACTTTTTTCTGGCTCAATATTATAACCACAATGATTCTAAACATTTTTATTTTCCATACTTACCCACTGTTGTCAGCTGTGTCATTTGAAGTATCTTCTGTCAATTTTCCCTCCGAGCATGCAATCTCAGTCTGGGATGCTGTTGAAACTATGGTTGACTGCTGTAACTCTGTATCCAATTTATTATTTTTCATGTTCAACTCTTGCTTTGATACAGGCTCTTTGACTGATTCTTTGAAGTCTTCTTCTCCACCTTTGATTGCATTGCAGATATTGAAACAGGAGTTCCTTTTATTGTTTCTTATTTGCTTCAGCAGCTGTGTTAAGGGCAACTCATTTGTATCTGTTTCATCATCAACGGAGTCTGTGCTTTCGTCAGGCAAGAGATCATATATACTAATTGTTTTAGTGGTTGTAGAGCTGTACTGAGGTAGACAGAAAGTTAATTTGAAGTTGGGACCACTGTCTTCATCTGTTAAATTTATCATTTCAGTTGGAAATTCTTCTGATTCATCAGATTCCTTGGAATAATGTTCACTCTAAAATTAGAAAATATAAATCCAAACTAAAAATGTTCAATAAGGAAATCCAATAAGCAATTGTTACATCGTTATTGCTATTCATTTTATATTTACTTTCTCTTAAACAGGAGATTAAGAAAAAACAAACTTGGAAATGTTTATCCATACAACTAGTTAATTCTGAAACAATCTAGTTGTATTTAAAGACTAAAGACTAGTTCAGATCTTAAATCATCTTAGAATCTCCCCTTTTACTGCCACACAAAACATGATTACAAAACATTACCTTCATTGAATACAATAATCATAAGTTGCACTTTATGTGATGGAATACCAATAAATCAATTGCAGCAAGTTTAGGCAATGACACACATAACATACTGCATAAGAGATACACAGTAGCAGCAACAGTCTAGTAGCAGCAGCAGCTGACAGGCACATTAAAAAAATCTGTGTTTTCAAAAGAAACTCTCTTTTCCTTCACCCATACATAAGGTCATAGCTCTAATGAGAGGCATTCCTCTCCAGCCGGTCAGTAAGTTCTTTATGCAGAATCAGAGTCCTTTGATGTTGGGCTCTGTTGTTAACAAAAGGCGTATCTTTTCTAAAACCAAAATTTGATTATTTTATTCCTATTTTATAGAATAAACCTTACTTACATTATTTAGAATGGGATCAGACATATATTGACAGGATGAGGGCATAGCAATGGGCTTGCTATTATCACCAGCAATAGCAAACCTATATATGGAATACTTGAGGAAATGACATTAAAATCTATATCACTAAAATCAACCCTATGGCTGATATATGTAGATGACACCTTCATACTCTAGCCACACCAGGAAGAGGTTCAGTTACTACTGGACCATGTGAACTCGATAAGATCATTGATATAGTTCACAATAGAGAGAGAAAACAACAACAAAAACAAACTCGCCTTCCTGGATGTACTAATATCTCAAACAGATCATGGGTTCAAGACATCTGTATACCACAAGCCTACATTCACCAGACAATACCCTAACTTCAACTCCCACTACTCATACAGTGTAAAGAAAGGGATTGTCTGCTGCTTACAACACTGAACAAAAGTCATAAGTTGTGACCCAGAGACATATGACCAATGGTCAGTATAAGCAGGATCCTACAACGTAACATCTACCACAGGTGCATGGCAGCAGCTCTAACAAACTGGGATTGAAAGGTACAAGAGGATAACAACACTCAGAAAACATCTTCAGCCTGCCTACTCTATGTGAAGGGATTATTGGTTCAATACTTCGCAGACACCTCTTCTGAGTAAGACCCCTCCCCAGAGAAGAACATGACTAAGGACAATGTGTATGCCATCCATGCAGCTGTGGTAAGAAATATAAAGGAGAAACAGGCCACCCCATTAAAGTAAGATTGCAAAAACATTGTAAAGCCATAACACGAGGGGAAATAGAAAAATCAGGCATAGCTGACCACATATGGAGGGAAAAGGTAGATCACTGCCCCCTGTGAAATGAGGGTGAAATAATAGACAGAGAATACCTCTGGAAAATATGAAAACGTAAGGAATCAGCACATATGCTAGGCCACAAAAAATCTCCTGAGCCAACCAAGCATAGAAATGAATACAATATGAGAACCTGTAATAAGGAGTGCTAGAGAAAAGCAATGAATAACAACAAAAAATTGCAATATAAGCTCTGGTAAAAAATATGCAATAGTAAAAGAAAAATTGCAATATAAGCACTGGTAAAAATTATGCTGAGGCATTAGGTTTATAAGTCCCAGAAATTCATTCACATGGTCCAGTGGACAAAGGCATTGGTTAGATCCAGTGACTAGACCCAAAGAGTTATGAGTTCAATACCAAGCTACAGCAGTATTGAACCAAAATTTGGAGAGTGAAGTTAAAGGGAAATAACTGAGATATACAGAAGAGGTATGGCACGTGGAATTAGAACAATCTACCCCGCTGGACGAAATAAAGGGTTCAGTTTGAAATTCCAATCACCTGAAGAAGGACAGAGTGTACAATGGCCGAAACATTGTAAATATGGCAATGAAGATGAGGATAGTAGTCCGAATAATGTAAATAATGTAAGCAAGCATAATACCTCATCTCAGAGATATAGACAGAGAATAAATATTTCATAAAACTTTCACCTGTTGTTTATTTCACTTTTGTTTTGTTAAGAACTTTTTTGATGGTATAGATATCTCCTCGGTAGTTATACATACCACTTCACCATTTTGTCTGTTAATAAAGATATTATCTATTAAGCTGTTAATCTAATTATCAGGCTCTAAAACCATTCTGCTAGAAAAGTGAAATTAAACCAAAACATTTTAAAGCAGTGTTATTATGAACAACACATGTTACACTTTCATTGGAACACACAAAGAAAAAGACAAATGCACTGCACTATGAATATTCATGATAAAAACATAGTCATCTCTCTCTTCCTAAACAATTTTAATTTCTATTGTTGAGAAATAGGTGAGTTGAGCTGTAAATTGAATTTATAAACAGAACAATAACTGAGTTTTTTTCATAAAGCTATTCGGATATACGAGACATAGACATGCAGACATTTTAAATTGCCTACTATAAAGTAATGTTTAGCAACCTACTTTTGCAAGCCACAGCAGTCATTGGGATTTCAATAGTTACAGATTCCTTTTTATTAAGGCCCTATGCCAAACTAGTCTCAATAAATATCTTGGACGTCCACCATATAACAATAGTTAACAAATTAGTTTTACTGACTGTTCAGTATCTTCATTGCCTCCTCTTACTAACTATATGCAAGGCTAAAGCAATTTTAGTAAATAACAATACCAGATACTTCTTTTTTCTGGTCCCATATGAGACTAGGCCAAAGTGAGTAAATAACCCTTTTATTTAGATTTGTGCTGATTGATCTTTCATTGTGCTTTTGTACCAAACTAAGGAATGATTAGTGAATATCTACATTCATAAAGGTTTCATTACTAAAATAAGTGAACATGTTTGAAGGCCCAGGTTAAATTTTAACCATTTTATTAACTCTGTTGTTGTCAATAACTGAAAAATACCTTTTAAAAAATGAAATTATATATATATACACACACATATCTATATCAATGGTGAAGGGTGACTTGGATCCAGAACATGCACTTACAAATATTTTGTCATATATGGCCTACTGTAATATTTTGTCACTCTTTGTCTGTCAACAACTCTACAAGCTATTTGCTACTTCAATGGGTGTGGAAGAAAATAAGATCTCCCTCACAAAAGAAATTGTTTTGCACTGCTTTTTAAGAAAAATTTTTTAGTAATTTTGGTTTAATCTTGTTCACAAATCATGAAATTAACAGTTTCTGTTTTAACAAGAGGTAGACATTTTATTTTAATTTTTAAAAAAGTTTATTATCACTTGATGACAGGTGTCAGAAAATGGTGTTGATTGATGGCTGGAAAAGCAAAAATCTGTAATTTTGACATAAATTACAAATTTTCACTTTTAATTAAAACTGACAAGAGGAATTGAAACAGACTTACCAAAGATCTGAAAGTAGACACATCTGTATTGGTGTCAATATCTGAAGCCTTCCAGTGATTTTTTGGAATTTCATCTTCGGTATTCCCAGTAATAATTTTTTCAGGTGTCACACACTTTTCAGTAAGAACAGCTGTGTCTGTTGTGAGCACTTTTTCTGTCATGATGCCAACTTCATTTGCTGCTTGTCTTTGAATTGTGACTTCTGGATCTGTGCCCACACTTCTTTCTTCAGTTTTGATTCTCCATATCTCTGGACAGGGATCAGTAGTCATTCCCCTCTCTGACATTTGCTGATTGGGGTATGACAAGTCTGGATCTGTACAGACTGATCTTTCAGTTTTCTCACTGTTGATCATTTCACTTTTTTCTCTCGGGACAGTTATGTTTGCTGTTACACCTCTCTCCTCAGTGGCACATTTTGGTTCCAGAAACTCCACATCTGTGGCCACATCACTTTTTTCTGTATATTTTTGGGTCATGGAAAATGGCTCTGTAAGAGTTCCCCGATCTTCGAAAGATTTTTCTGTTGAATTGTCCCAATCTGTAATCATTTTTTTATCTTCAACATAATTATATTCCTGGACTTGTGGCTCAGTTTCTACTCCCTTCTTGTATATGTATCTATTGTCTTTAACAATTAGCGAATCGTTAATTACTCCAGATTCAATATTTGGAATATCTACTGGTGCAACTGATTCTGGGATAGGAATAATTCTGTTCATGACTACTTTACCCTCTGTCTTAATTTTTTCTGTAGGAAAGAAAACTTGATCTGTTGTAACTCCTTTTTCTGAAGTCATCAATCTGTCTGAATCTACACCCATTTCTTTGGTTAAGACTTTTGCTGTCATAAAACCTTTGTGGGACAGGCATATTTCATCTGTCGACATTTCCTTTTCTGTAGTAGTTGATTTTTCCGTTAGAGTTTCCTTGTCTAAAAATTCACGAGACTCTGCTGCTATTCGCTTTTCAGTAATTAGTTTCTCCATTGAGATTTCTTTTTCTGAAAAATCCCTAGCATTTGTGGCAATTTCTCGTTCTTCATGGAATATTTTCTCGGCTGAAACGCTTTTGTGTGCAAGAATTTCAGAGTCTTTTATGATTCTGCGTTCCACATTAATAACATTATCT